TAAAAAACAGATTCTACTAACGTTTGTGGTGATATGTGAATAATTTAACACGACCCACCCCTAATGCAGTGCATTTTTCCCCTGACCCACCCTTTTTAACGTGTTAAAAACTAGTGACTCACCCCCAACTTTTCATAGCCCACCCCCACCCCCTCTACTTTATGACCGGTCCCTTACAGGCACCGTTCGTGTAAAAGAGTTACGTACATTTCCAAATTAAGTGAAAAAGCTCATAGATAGCAATTTGATTTGTAGCGTTTATCATGGCAAATAAACATTATGTTCTTCTTACAGACCGTTTCTCGCGCAAAGCTAACGTTCAGACCCTGTTCAAAACTACTCATCTAAAAAGACCGAGGAGGGAAATTTTTTACTCTGTTCCGGCAAGACTCAAAACCTCGAAAACCATGCCTTGTAAAGCGGCACACACCCTTTCCTTCCAAAAAGTTTGTGCAACCCCTCAAGCTGCGGACCTTAATTCAGTCACCCTAGGACTCAATTAAGACTTCACATGGGACCTTATATGCCTTAGCTACTTGATGCGAATTTTGAAAACTTTGCACAGTGTACAGATTTTAAAATGGCAAACTAAAATCTAAAACATTTCCAAGTAGATCGTTTCATAAAAAAGGAAATGTAATTATTCATTCCCTTGGGGGGGGGGTCGAATGTTTTTTGGGGGATGCGATCGCATGGTTTTTGGGGAGATCGCAGTGGTGATTAGTCGTCACCGACAGAGTATGGAATATAACCTCCCTTCCCCCCAAGCGATAAACAGTGACTGGTCCCTATGTAGATCATGGACTACTGACAGAAAAGACACCCTGTGGTTACTCTGTGGTAACCCTATGGTTACCCTGTGGCAATCCTGTGGTCACCCTGAGGTGACCCTTTGGTGACTCTGAAGCGTAACACATTTTCTTTAAATCTTAAAATAAATTTGAACCTATAAAAAAAGAAATTTTTCACATTTACAAAATATTGAAATGTTTTCCACAATATTAAGCAGGAATGGAAAGGCAGAGAGGAAAATATCATATTTCTCCGATACTCCCTCCCTTCGGAGTCGAGTCTCGCTTTCCCTAATCACTCTTGGGGGCGACTTGCTTGTACGCGTGACCCCTCAGAGCTTATGCTTTTTGATATCCTTTTCCCTCTAGAGCGATTTAGAACATAGCTAGCAGAGTCGCGCAATCAAATTCATTATACGTGAGCGTGCTCAAAATCCCGATAGTGCACGCTGAGAGCGTCAGCAAATCCGACCTCGCCAGAAATTTTATCTTTTCGCGCGTGCGGCCATTGTTAGCGCGGGGAAAAATAATATATTTCGCGACAATAATGGATACAAACAGAAACTCGGCCTACCAGTCCGAAAACGAAGACAATGTTTCGACCTTTTCCCTTGGGTTAGAGTCAATAAAGGTAGTTGAAAATTTGTGTCAAAACATGTTCCCTTGTTTTCCTTACATGTTTGTAAATTTGTTTTGAAATAAATTTTTCATGCGGCGTGTTTCTAACATTCCACAGATATAATATTCGTGATATTGATGGCCGCAGTAATCACCTGAATGGAAAGATAGCATTAATATATTGGTCTGTTGATAGACTTGATAACTGGTCACAGGAAGTGAGATAATAACGAAGCCAAGAGTTCGCAATTCTCAAATATCTGGCAGAATTAACACCGTCTTATCTTTTTTTCACGGGTTAATTTATTCCATTTCTTTTTTGTAACATGGGGGATTTTTGCTCTACATATTTCACTTGATTGTTTGGTGAATGTAATTTTGCCTAATTGTTTCTTTCGATCTCTCCAATCAACTATTTGGTTTCTGAATAATGAATACTCAATTAACGCAGATTTTTAAGGTTTTTGACCAATTCGAGAGGCTTTGTTACGGATTCGTTTCTCTTTACATACCAGTAAACGAGTTCGTTAAAAAGACATTGTAGTTTGGCAGCAATTCCGGAGATTTTTCCCTAGTTTTAAGTTGGAACTTTATATCCAAATACATTAAAATCCGGAAATCTTTGTAGAGCAAACGATCTTATCATAAATCCAAATATTTCTTGGCTTTCTTGTTTGTGCTTCTTCTCAAAGTTCTTTTTACTTCTAGTTACAGATAACAGCTAAAATATCTTTCCCTTCGTTTTAGGGGCTTGGAAACTCTGTCCTATAATTTCCGGTGTCTGTAAGGAAGAGTCCGTTGAGTCTGTGGCTCTCACTCCATCACATGAAATTAAATATGCCGTGGCTGGAGTGATTTCCAGACTGCAAAATTTGATCACGTCAAAACTGCTCGGCCTGCTTTGCCTTCGTGTGACGTTTAGTGTGCAGTTTAAATTGCCTCCTTTTGTTCACAAATCGCGGAACAACCTAAGTCCACTCCAGATTGAAGATCCCATGTCTCTGAAACCATCTTCTAATCATGCTCTCCGCTGGTAAACACAATCTCCTTTTCGTTCCAAAAGTCATCTGCCCTACACTTGGGGATCCTGCACACCTTCGCTTATGGGGTGCTGCTCCTGTCTTTTGGAACTTACTGCAATGTTGATTCGAATCTGTATCAGCCTTGCCGTTTTATGAACATAACTTAGAACATTGGTATATAATTGAATATAAAGCGCTTTTTAAAATTTCTTTGTAGTATTACTGCTATGTAAATTCTGTGATTTTAAAGATTTTTTTCAGTTATTGCATGTCGAATCAAGGCATGCGGTTGTTGTTACCTGTGGATCCCAACCTCGTTCCCAGGGCCTTTTCCCTTAGCCCCACCCCGAACTAAGGAAAAAGGCCCTGGGAACGAGGTTGCTGTGGATCCATTCTACCTATTTTGACAGTGCAGCTGAATATAAATTCATCAGGGAATGTAACGGGATCGGATTTCTCGATGGGCGAGAACAGTTGAGAATCTAAATGCCCCTACAGTGCAACCTCCTATGGATCTGAGTCACCCTACATTGAAATCCGTGAAAATCTCTTCTGCCGGTGAAACTGACTTTGTATCCGTATAGTTTTGAAATTAAATCAGGAGCTTCTCCTAGCTAGTGTAAGCTATTTTGTCAAAAATCCGAAAACTTTATAGTTTTCTTGTTTGTTTTTTTTCTCTGTCCTCAACTTTACCTTCTGGATATGGATAGCCTTCAGCGCACCAGTCACAGATGCCAACTTACAAAACCTTTCCATCTTTTTAGGTGCTTGGAAATCCTACACAATCATGTTTGGTGGCCTGTTTGAACAATACGAACAATCCCAGGTTCTTAAGAGAATTCTTACTGACTTGATCACATATCGAAACAATCCGGCAGTTGTTGTGGAATTTGGATCCACTCTGAACGACGTGGGACCACAGACTAGCTGAAAAGTTTGGAAAATAACAAATTCAGCGTGGAATGT